CACAATGTGATTAAAAATACGATAAATGTTAACAATTAATTATATTATATATTCTTATTATTATAATTAATTATTATATTTATTACTATTTTACTTATACTAATTTTCATGCTTATTTTTATTATATATTTATTATTATATTTATACTTGGTATTATTAAATTAATTTACACATAATAATAAACATTTTATTTTCTAATTTTAGAGATAATATAAAAAAATAAAGATAAAATATATTTCTTGCAATATGGAAAAATTCGAAAAGTTTACATTTCATTCAGTTTTCACTGAATATATACGTATTCAATTTTACGTTGAATTTCAAATTCCTCGTCATGCGAAAAATTTCTATAATGTTTAATGTTATCTTTCAATTTCTCGTACAATACAAATTAAATATCTGAAACTATATGGATTTGAGCGATGTTTGACGTTAACATTATGAAATGGATCATTATTCAAACATTTGCATTAAAATGCATTACAAATGCACGATGCAAATGAAATATCAAGTTTAATTTATTGTTACATTTCAAAAAGAAATTGAAATTAAATACAAAACATATATAGTTTATACACCATTTAAAAGCAATATATAAGTTAAGTTAAAAAATAAAGATAATGTTGTTTCAAGATAGAAGATTATTAATTTAAACAATATTATATAAAAATAATATAAAATAAATAATTTTGATACGATATAACGTGTACAAATAATCTATTTATCTTACGTTAGATCTCTTCATTCTTTTCGTTAATTTCGTGAAACGAGTTTCCAGTTTCTAAATTTTATAAAGTCTAATATCTCTTCATACATTATTTCAAGAAATCTTATTATCTATAAAATTGAATTATCCTGTTGGATTACCGATCCATTTCATTTTGTATCATCTTTAGCAGACAGTTTCAAGTTTTAAAGTTTAATTAAAACGCAACTTTTCACGCGATATTTCAAAAAATCTTAATCTTAGTCATTTATAAAAATTTAATAAAAATTTACTCGTCGCTTAGTTAAATCAATTGATTTTCTCTTAGCTTTATCAAACGAGTTTCAAAATTTTATTGAAGCGTAATAATTCTTCGCACGTCATTTTAGAAATTTAGAATTATTATCTGTCATTTGTAAAAATTTCCTCATATTTCAAAAAACTTGTTACATATACTTGTAACAAGATACTTATTTTTTTTACGATCACGTAGAATAATTTTTTTTCACTAAGTTTCAATTTATTTATTTATTTAAATCATTTTTCATCTCTTCGTTCCTTATATTTTGTTTAAAAAAAGACTAAACGAAATGATGAAAATTAATACATATATATATAATAATAATATAGAGAATAAAAATATTCTCTAAAATAATATTCATCACGTAAAATATCTCGTGATATGGAGAAGTGAAAAAATCGTATTATTTTTTTATAGTTAAATGAAAGATGATATCTGAAAGGGCTCTGTAAAATATCTTTGTATAAAATTATATATATTTTTCTGTTATCTAAGGTTACGTTCTCTTATCCACAGCCTTAACAATGAAGGACATTGAAATTATCGCGCAAGAGCGTAGAGATAAACGAGAAAAAGAACGAATGCTTAAACCAACCACCGCTCCAAAAATTCGTCGTTTCTATAAAAAAAAATAATCGTTTCATATCGAATATTTATCAAACAAATTAACGTCTAAAAATCTACGAAAAAAATCAGATATCGAATCGTAAGCAATTAAAACGTATTCTGTAACTTGAAACTGAATTGATACGAATTTAAAAGTAAAAAGAAAAAAAAAAAAGAAAAATAAGAAAGAAAGAGCAAAAATGTGATAATAAAGAAGGAAGAAGGAAGAGAGCGAGTATAGAGTCGCACAAATTGATCGAACAAATTCAATACAAGTCTATCCAACAACAAATCTGACATGAATCAAGGATGCATTAAACTACGAGTGAAACGTTTGTTCAACAAACACATCATCGAGTGAGCATTGAACAAATTCATTGGCCGCGATCCAATCCACATCCAAGTCACAGAATCTCATATGTTAAACAAATTCAACATGGTGAAATCAAACATGGATCGAACACAACTAGGCGGATGTTGCAACGTTAAAGAGGCACGGGGATCACTGTTGAAAACACACCCCTTGATACAAACCCCTCACCACCTCGAGTCGACGTATAACACACCGGATAACCCAGAAAACGAAGCGAGCATCAAATATTCATCGAACAAATCGACAAACGTGGGAAATTAAAAGCTCAAAAAAAAGAGAGACCAATGATGCGTCGATCGTTGCTCCAACTCTGCGCGTTGTACACGTCGCAAGAGTACGATCTCTACCTCTTCGGATCGATGATTCGATCGAAAATCGAGAAAGGAGAAGAAAAAAAGTATAAAAAAATATAAAACGACATAAAATCGCCTATTCTTCTAAAAAAAAAAAAAAAAAAAAATAGTATACATATCATCACGTCGCATTGAAAGATAATAAAAAGATATGGAGAGATAAGTTTCGTTAAAACTCGAAGGGTCGAACCGAGTTCCCGATAAAAGGAAAGCAAGTTTATAAAAACGCGAGAAGAAAGGGAGAAAATAGGGGAGGAAAGAAAGGAAGGAAGATAAGGAAGAGAGAGAGAGAGGGAGGAGGAAAAAAAAGGAGGAGAGAGAGTTAGCACGAGTTATCGCAGTACGGTATCAGGTACGGGAAGGGAAGAACATGTGCCGTATTCGTAAGGATTTTGTACAAAGAAGCATAACACACACGCACATACACACATATCTGAATCGTACCAATATACACGAGAGCCGTATACACGCATCGCATACCGTACACATACATGCACACGTAACCTATACACACGTATACACGCCACGTTCGTTGACCACAACCGCCCTTTTACACTGTTTTATCGGTCCTTTTGACTTTCGTAGATAGAGCTACGACTTTTTCTTACACACACGCCGACATCAGACGTCGACAGCCTCCGCTGCCTGGATAATCGTTATTACAGGGCTACAGGGAGAGGTGGTCGTCGAGGTTTCAATCACGATTATTGCTAATCTCTTGTTATTATTATCAATAGAGATGGGTCGTAACCTGATTTTTAGATTCGAAATTCAAGATTCTGAAATTTGACGAGGTTTGAAAACTCTCGAAACCTGGAACAAATTGCTTTTTCCTTTTTTTCCATCCCCTAAGGAGTGTGTTGTATTTTCAAATATATATTTTGTTATCGGAAAATTTGGTTGGAAAACTTTGATTCCTTTGAAATTTTTCATTTGACTCGGCTAAAATGATAACAGTTTTTTTGCTATAAAAAAATTACCAACTTCGTGCATTACTGAATCGAAAAGAAGAAAAAAATTATCCTTCATCCAGGTTTCGACAGTTTCGAAAAATTAACAAAAAGTTTCGACGTTTTCGAGCGCGAGACTTTTTGGGCATCGAAAAATTTCAAGATTTCGAGTGTTCCATCCCTAAATTATTACTTATCATTACGGTTATATACTTAATGAACGAAAGGAAAAGAAAAAAAATAAAAAAAGAAAAAACCAAAAGAACGAAGACGAAGATGATGAAGAACAAGTTGGACGAAGTTTAAGTAATAATCACCGAGAGAAATGATGATGATGATGATAAGGAGCTCGTAACGTCACGCCATTATTATGGTCAGGGGCATGGCGTTCCTTTCGGAAATTCCGGCGTGACGTCACCTTCATTATTGTATTTAATAAGCATTATAATTTATTCTTGTAACATCATTATCGTTATCGCTGCGATTCCCCGTGATCATCGTCGGCTCCTTCCGCGTCAGTTCGAAGAGAGATCGTTGGACGATCTGGAAAGATCGATGGGACAATAGGGTTGGTCGAAAAAAACAATATATTTGCATGCGAGAAATGGATGCAAAGAGTGAGGTGATTCGAAATTTACTCGTGTATTTTCGGCTTGAACTGTGGCGTGTCGTGGCCGACGATCGTGACGCGTGATCGAGAGAAAACGGAGGCGAAAATGGAAATGAAAAAAAAAAAAAAGCGAAATTATATATATCTATTATTGTATCGAGAGTTGTGCGCTGCGTTTGCGATTTAAGCTAGTTCGTTTGTAAATAAAGACTATTTAACTCTTTGACATCGGTGTCTCGGGGTGAATTCAATTTTATGTGTTTTTCCCTACGTTTAACGCGTTATCCCTAGAATTGGTTTCTAGGGATCTAGATTTTTTTCTTATTGGATTTTTTTCTTATTTTCTTATTGAAGACGAAGAATTTTTTAATATTTTTGATATTCATTCATGGTAAAAACAACTTTAATTTTTACTGCTTTTAATCTTTTTTTTTCTATGATACGTACAATTAATACTTATATACAGTAAATTGAGAAAAAATGTACGTAGTTGGAATTTTGTTAACTAGATTTTTGTCTTTATGGCCGAAAAAGATTATATTTTTTAGTATTTAGAATTTTGATAAGATATTTTAAAAAAGGTATGATATCTCCTTAAAAAAAAATGATGTGAAAATTTTGAATACAATTAATTAAAAAAAAATCGACACAAAAATAGACTTCTAAATACGAACAAAAACAAATAAATATTTCACTGTTATATTTTTTTTTAACGAATAATATATTAATCTTACGTTTCGTTAATTTCATTATTAATTATTCATTGAAATGTACATAATGAATCAAAAATAATTAACCATTTTATATATTTATTTCTACATCTAAATTCATCTCATAACAATAAACAGTCTATAAAAGTTTAAATTTTTAAATTATATTTTAAAATTACTTATCATTCATATATCAGCATAGCAAATACGAAAATATATCGTCCTCCTCGAATATTGTATCGCGATTGATCTTTGGATAATTGGTGAAACGTGAAGCGTTTCATCCTCGCATTTATTTATCACACTTGGAAGGGCATACCTTCAAGCCATGCAGGATAATTGCTCGTACACGAGACACATTCCAATATTGTCCTCGAGGGTGGTTCCGGTATCCTCTCCAGGGCCAAAGGCCACCCTGATGCGAAAGGGCGTTGCCCAAGTCTCCACGCGACAGTTGCCTTCTTCGTCCACCTGGTTTCGATCGCACAGTGAATTGCCGCAATGTTCAAGGTTGCAAATACCCGCCTCGTTGTTGCCAGGCTGCAAACACAAGTTTGGAAATTTCGTTTGGGAACACCAACGTCATCGTGTTACACGTAACGAACATTTGCTTCGTTGAAGGAGACAAGGTTAGTTGATCCTATAATTTTGATGTTAAATTTTATCGTGTTTAATTAATACTTTTTTTTTTCTTTTCTTCCTTTTTTTATACTGTAAAATTTTCTAGTAAATATTGCGTTTAAAATTACGTATTGTAAAGTACGAAATAAGTTCTTTCTTTAAAGATATAAATTCCACAAAGTAACGAAAAGTTTGTTTATTTAAAAAATAAAAAATTCTTAAAAATTTTCAAAAAGAATCTTTTTTTTTATTTACTAAGAAAATAAAATATGAAAAAGCAGAAGATTTGTAAGAAAAGAAAAACTGTAAGGAATGTGTTAAATTTTTCAATTTCAAACATTTTTTATCGGAAGATTTGATTAAGATGACTGATCCACGGCTTGCGGCTAAAATAAATTTTTCTCTGGAATATTTCATAGTGTTCACCGTTACATGGAAACTATTTACTGCTGCAAGAAGAACTGAGCAGGAGATTACAAAAATGCATTACCTCGTTTAGTTCGTTTTACAAGACAATTGCATATTTGAGTTTATAATAGATTTTTATTATCTAGTAATCAGAAAGTTATTTCTTCAAAAATTATAAATTCTTATAAAAATTTATCAAAATACACAAAAATGTTACAAACAAGAATATTACTTTTTTAAATATAAATAAAATAATTTGTTTTTAACTATTTTGTTTTAAAAGACAAATTTTAAAATTTTATACTTTCTATAATTTTAATGTAAGTGTATCTTTTTCCAATATTTATCCATAATTTTTTTCTACAAATATTACAAAAATAAACATTATCTTACAAATATTAAACAATTATATCGTATTCTAAATTCAATTCAAGCAACAATCAATATTGAAAAGTAAACAATTTACATGAATCATATCGAAAAGCAAACAATTTACACGATAAAACAAGCCGCTTACCAAATTCCATTTCAAACCAACATTACGATAGTCGTTAAATTATTTGATTACATAATCAACGAAATCCAAAACTTGACTATTCAATTCATATCATTCATATACAATTCATCATACAATCTAAAGAAACAAAGAACAAAGACCCATAATAAAGTTGGTAACATTATAATTGATAGCTTTTATCCATCACAAGAGCCACTCCTCGTGAGCGCTCTCGAACCTAGGTAGAGCCAACTTCTCCTATCAACCGACCCCTCTCTCGGCATCCCTGTTCCCAAACAAAGTGAAAACATTACCGTGATAAATTCCTCGAAGTCACAGGGAATGAGCACCCTGTCACGGCATCGTTCTTGCCCATAAACGCTGCTTCCCCCCGACGAATCGGCTTCTTGCTCCATTGGATTGCTCATGTTCATGGAGGTGAGAAAATCGTCCATGGAGTTCGATCCAGATCCCTCGTTATCGGTGGCGTTCGTAGACCCCATGTCGGTGCTATTCCTTTTTTCGGTGAAATTCATGACTGCATGACTCTGATCGGCGACGGACACGTTCGCGTTCGTGCGATTCGTCGATTGCATCCTGGACGGGCCTATTCTGAACGAGTCGGGTGAACAGGGCGAGTAAGAGATTCCGCACATCCCTCTTTCTTGACGAATGCAGAGTAAGTAATCCTGGTTGGCCAGAAATCTTCCGTTCGAGAGAAAGTTTAGGGATTTTAAGGTGCCATTGTTGCCTTCGAAGTACTGGAGGCAGCCGGTAGGGGCGCGCTGCTCGAAGTCCAATTGGACGATTCTCATTTCCCACATTCTGGACTGGAGGCCATCGGGCAATCGGAAGTGCAGCGTCAACGGCTGATCGTCCTCGTCCATGTCGATGTATACTAGAGAGGGGAAAAAAAAAGAAAAGAAAAAAAGAAAAACAAAGAGGGTCTAAACAGTTGACTCGACACGAAAGAGGGAACTTGTATCGAAGAAGATCGATCGATCCCTTAACTAAGCCTAGTGAGAGGCTACTCTCGAACAATGGAATCTTGGAAGTATCGTTTTCTAACACACATATTCGTTCTTTTTGGCGAGGGGAGAGGGAGAAAGAGAGAGATTGATTGTTCCCTGTCGTTCGGTGGAAACGCGATATTAGTGAGATTTTAATCGTAAGCGATGGATTAATGAGAATTCCTTGCGAACATTTATCAATGCGAGTTTGATTTATTAGTTTCGAGGGGAATCGTTTGATAAATAAGGATCAAAATATATAGAATGCTCTGTAAAATAATTTAAAGTCGAATCAAATTTTATTCTTCGATTTTCATTCCCTTTTTCTTTCTTTTTTCTTTTCTTTTTTTGTAAAATAATTATATTTTTCTCGATACTATTGTATTTTTTCCAGGACACTAGATGGAAAATCAAGATCCTTTAAGGAGGCAATTAAGAGCAGAAATTGTTGATTTTAAAAAAGGTTCGATCGTTTTGATGTGAATGAGATCTAATTACTAGATCTAATTTTTTAGATCATTTTTTTGAAATTTGATGGATCAATACCATTAAATTTCGTCTTAATTACCATCAACTATATTAAAGTATATTAAAGTATATTGTGATTGTATTTGTATCGAATATTTTTTGTATAATAGGGTTTACAATAAAATATTGATAAATTAAGTGAAAATATTGAAAAATCATGGTATAAAGGAATTTTTACTTACGATGCTGGCCACTGTTCCATCCGCACATGTGAAATATGCTTCTGCCATTCCTAATTTCCATAATATCTTCGTCACATACGCCAGTCCTTGAATTGGGTTGACCCTAAAACGATCGATAAATTTCTTGAATGAACAAGTCGATAAGTGCAATTGATTTTTATTGAACATAGTATTATATTATCTTATATAACCTATATTATCTTATTTCAAGTCTAAATAATTATCAAATAATTTCATTTTTTTATTTATTTGTTTATCTCTTCTAAAGATAAAGAAAGATAATTGAAGTATTTTTAATTACTTTAATTAACACGCTGTAATTTATTTAATTTATTATATAAAATTGAATCGTAATTTTATCAAGTAATATTATTTTTGTCTTTGAAATGTTTCACAGAAATTGAGATTGATTTTGAAATTCTAAATTGAAAGCTTTGATATATTTTGTAGCATTGGTTTAAATAAATAATTATCGATAACAAATTAATTATTTTAATTATGTTTGAGCAGTAAACGTAGATTATTTAATTAACTTAGAAATACTTAAAACTGTATTTTGTTCTAATGTAAATTATTAATTGTTAACTTATTTATGTGTTTTATTATCAGTTATCGAAAATTATTAAATTCAATTTGCATAAGTATAATGATTAAATGTGTGAAGGATAAGGCGATGACTTAAAAGAGCGTAATCTTGAAATTAATGTTGAGTTTTTTATTCTTTTTAACAAAGTAAAATTGCTGCAAAAAAACGAAATATTTTTTTCTTTTAATACAACTTTTTTTCGTAAATTTTTATAAATTTGTAATGAAACTTTAAAATAATCTAGAAATTCTTCTTTTCGATAAACTTGTTAAAATTATTCCAAAACGTTAGAAGATTTCTTCCTTTCGTAAACTTTTATACATAAACTTCGATAAACTTGTTAAAATGGCTGCAAAACTTGAACATAACTTTAAAACTCTTATTTTTTTTTTTTTTTTGATGAACTTCTATTTGAAGTCGCTTCGCGATAAACTCGTTAAAATGATTATTGAAAAGTTTCCAAAATTCTCGTCAATATTAATAAAATTATTACAATATACTTCTTTTTTTTTCTTTACAATTTTCCATAATTTTCTTTTCCTAAATTTCAACAAACTTGAAAGAAATTAATCAATATAAAACTCATAGTATCAAAATTCTCGATAATCCTGTCAATAACATTAACTCGATCTTAATGCGATCTTAAAAGTTGTTGTTGTTCTTTTCAATAAATTTTACTTGGAGAACTGTTGTGAATAATAAATGTATGAAAAGTTAGGAAAGGAGATCCAGTTGCTGTCTTGTTAACGACAAAACATACCTGACGATCCATTTTCCATTAGATTCTTCGTACCTCGCATTTCATTCCTTTTTCACTGTTCGACCGTATGAGTTTTTAATCGAATTCCGCTACACGCTTTTACAACGTATACACATTCTGACAACGTTTTTAAATCAGAAAATTCTGGAGAAAAGCGAAAATTCAGTTGCAATTTCATTTTAAATTTTTGATACTATTATTCTATTATTTTTGATTACATAAATTATAGACACTATTTTCCAGATACCAAAGATTTTTAAATATATATATATATATCCATACGCGTGTATGAAATGTAAAATTTCTATGATCAAATTGATAAACATAAGTGTTGGAAGAACTGAGAAATATTTCAAAATGTTTTAAAAATTACGCCTCACGTCTTTCTTCCCCCCGAATAAAATTAAACTTGAAAAATAACGATTCTTTTGTATCTCGCATGTGATCTTGTTTAATGGGTCACTCAGTTGAACGAACAAAGTAAAATCCAATACAAAACTGGTTTGGTTATTTATATTAACGAATGTAATCAAAAATGTTTTGTCAAAAACTATTTTATTATTATTTCTAAAACAATTATACACATATTATTATATACAAGTATTTTTATACAAGTATTAAACAATGATTTATTTAATTTCATATATTTTTTGCAAATATTAAAGAATTTGTAAATATGAAATATTTACCATTAAGCTTACTTTCTTTGCAAATAGCATTATAGGCATTTGTTTCTCTCGAATATTTTAAGTAATTTTAAAATACGTAAAAAAAAATTATCATTCCCAAATTTCTTTAAACAAAAAAATATCTAATTATTTTTAAATTCACAAAAAATCAATAAAATTTTTCCCAAAAAAAATTATCAATTATTAACAAAAAATTTTTTCCAATTATAACAATTCGTCCAAGATTCTCTGTAAACTCAAAATCAAAATCGATAAATTATCCAACGCATAATATCAGAAATTATCACATATTTCAAAAAAATAAAGTTTCATTAAAATTTCATTGCTTTTAAATTTAATTATTAATATGATAGACTACACAACAGACCTATACGAGATATAGAAAGTGCAATTCTTTCGTTCTAACACTGTTTAAAAAGAAAGTATAGTAATTCGCGATTCCTGTGCTATGCTTGTGCATAGTGAAGCTACGGGAATGTCATTAACCCTCGGATGCGCAGTGGAACTTCTACGTACACGTCCCATCACGTACAATTATATTCTTTGCAATCTTAATTTTTAATCTCCCGCATTTCCCCTGAAAGCTTCTACTAAAATAACATGCCCATTATCTAAATTGTAAACCTAAATTATAAAGTGATATCAATCTTTTCAATTCTTATTCTCATTTTTACCACCATTTTGTTTTTTCACGTGCACATTTCACCACGATATACCACGTTATATAAATATTTTTAACATCATAAATTTTTCGTTTCTGCATAGAACTTGACACGATGTATTCTCCAAGGGAAAAAAAGAAAAAAAAAAAAATAGAAAATTGCAAAAAGATCAATTTTTCCAAAAATTCGATCAAAACTCAAACACGATACGAGAAAACGTTTCTATCGAAATGACGAGGCAACACAACTGCTATCGTCATAACCATTCCATCCAACAAACAAACCATAAAAAGGGAATGATGTACGATTCAGACTCGCCCTTAAATAACGCAAGACCCTGAAAAATTCATCCCCTCTCTCTCTCTCTCTCTCTCTCTCTTTCTCTCCCTCCCTCTCCCTCTCTCCTCCAAGGCTGTCCAGTTAATTTAAAACGTGGTAATCTTGCTCGTCAACGTGGCTGAATTTTACGAGGATGGTCGAAATTCCCCGGAGGCACTCGTAAATGTCAACCGAGGGACACCGAAACGAAACAGGGGAAACGTATATTCGGGTTACTGAACCCTTGCTTGCGTTCTCAATTAGGGGTCAACAATTCCACACGCGAACGTGTGTAACGTGTGGAAACCGTGCCGAGTGTCCTGTACAACCGATAATTTCGTTTCTCACGTGAACCAACAACAGTGACCAAGGACATCAGAGAGGTCTAAAGAGGCGAGGGTGTAGAGGGTGTACGGTAAAATGGTAGGGAAAATGTGTATATGTGTATGTGTGTGTGTATGTGTGTATGTGTGAAATCACGAATGCGTAGTATCGCAGGGAGGAGGGGGAGGGAAGGGGGAGGTTAATATGCCGTTAGTGGAGCAAAGAATGACAGAGTTGCGTGGCTTACTATGTTGAAGTGGACGAAATCGATCCTTAGCTGGCTGACCTGCCTATCGATCTTCCGCACGACCACTGAACAGTTCATGGGCCAGTCAATGAGGTTGGGGAAACCAGGGCTGATCACGTAGGTCAGATTATTCTGCACCTCTTGCTCGCAACTTGCCGTGACTTGTGATGGAAAGAAAGAAAAATTATTAGGTCATCCTGAACGTTTCTTTATTCGTATTCGAATTTATTTAATTTTATGTGTATCCGAGGCTACTTCTTTTGCAAGTGCCTTTATTCGTTTTCAAAATTAAAACAGATCATGGATGGTTATAATATCTGTTTTTAAGCAAATGGAATTGAATTCATATTCTTTTAAATGTCTTTTATTAAGCTTGAATTATGCTATTGTATATTTCATCTTTTTTCTTTTTTCTTTTCTTTTTTTTTTCTCATTTGTATCATTGTATAAACTTATATTTAAAAAATATATATTAAAGCTTTATATATATATTTCAAAGTGATATTTTTCTAATAAAAAAAATTGCCTATCATATACCATATCATAACCTATCATATAACCCATTCTGTCTTTCTATACACTCGCAAAGTTTCGTACAAAACAAAATTAATGTTAGTTTTAATAGCGTTTATCCTTGTTAGTCAAAGGATACGATATGACTTTTTATATACATGGAATATTGCAAATGAAAATTGCAATTGAAAATTGTGAAAACGATTACTCAAGATAAAGATGTTCACGGTGTTCTTCTTCCATAAACCGTAAGAAATCACGGGAACATTCAACAATGACTTAATAGGAGGGAGGGAGGAGGGAAGAGAAAGGACAATTACTGGAAGATAAATGAGCAATGGGGTTGGAAAAGAGAGCGACCAAGGTGGAATCGGTCGAAACGATGGATGTGCAACGATGGCCATTTCTATGCGCCCGACAGAGAATGTATAAAGTAGAAGGGTAGAGTGAAGTGTATGTATTTGTTCTACGAGGCGAATATCGACTCGAAAATATTGATCTGATTCTCAACGTGCTGCTCGAACGCTAGGGAACAACGAATTCGAGTACGCTTCGCTTTGGTCAGAAAGCGTTTTATTTTCCGATACGATCTACTGATAACGATTCTTTCGTTCTATCCTCCCCCTCCCCCTCTTCTTCTCCATTTTCAGTTGCGTGCATTGGTTACGTAGAAATCGAATTCCTCGAACGTTTAATCGGCGGTAATTTAGAGACAATGATGGAGGAAAAATGGAGGTAATCGATCGTATCGATGGAAAATTTCTTTTCGAGAGATAAGATTAATCTAATATTTGCATAGATATTTGCGTAGTTACGGAAGCTGATAAATTTACAAAATTATAAAATTGCTATCTCGTTTGAAAATTTTGTGTATATATTACTTCGCGTTATAATATCAACGATTTATTTACCTTGTCTTACACACGAGTAAATACAAAGCTAAATTAATCAAGTCGAAGATTATTTCCTATTACTGCCTTTTTCTTTTTCTTTTTTGTATTAATTATTTTTAAACCGACATTTTTCTTTATTCTTGTTTTCTCCCCGTTTTATATTAACTTTTATATTATTTTTCCCGTTGAATAAAATTCTTCCATATCGCGAAGATATAAATTCCATTAACACATATAACTTCTCACGGGAAAGTTACACGTTTATTTATTCATTCACGTGTATATTATACATTGGAATTGGTAAGAAAAAAAAAAAAAAAAGAAAAAAAGAAAAATCAACGTTCCAAAGAAACGTTGATATCCAACTTTCTTCCCCGTTTTAAATCTCACGTCTTTTTATCGGGTTGTTGCTGATATTTTTACGCTGTTCTGTCCGCGATAACGGGAAAAAGAAGTTGAAAAAGAACTTGTGAACACCTACGACCGAGGGAAACTGTGACAACGGTACACGATGAATTATAATGCGCGATACGATAATACCTGTTTACTCGAGAAACAGGGTATAGATTAATAGACAAGGAACGTTGGTTGAAACGAAATTACGCGCGAAATAAATTTTCTAATTGGAAAATTGGTTACCACGTATTTAGATACGAATTTTTCTTTCAAATTCAATTTCATTATATGTGGATACGTTGATAATACAATTACACGATGGACGATGAGAAATATTATAAGTAATGAGTTTAAATTTATTAATGCGCTAATAATATATCCATTTTATATTTCGTGACATAGAAATTTAAACATTTAATTAAACACACATTCAAAATGATGAATTTAATAACATTCATGTATGTATATATAAATAATTTATCGTTATCCTCCATATCAAGTTTGCAAATTAAATTTATCGTCTATGAAATGTACAGAAGTGTTAATCGCATTTATTGCAAGAATTTTCATAAAATAGATGATTTAAATTAGCAAATGTATCCATATTATGGCATCTTCAAATTTTTATTAATTCAAACATGTTATTCGATCGAAACGAATTACGATATGCTATAATAAAAAATTATTACAAAAATGATAAATAGCTAAGAAATAAATCGAATCTAGAATAAACATGTAGAATGTAACATTTTACATTCAAAATTTTATTAAAATAAATCAACGTTTAGAAAATTTGACTGCTATTCAAATTTATTACATCAGATAACAAAAGAAACGAATTTAATATAAATTTAATATAAATTTTTCCTTGTAAATCTTTTTTTAATTTTTCGGTGTAATCAAAATATCATTTTTGACTTTATATTTTCATGTGGATTAATCTTTTATCAATTTGTACCGATTATTAAAAATAATAAAAATATTATAAAGAAACAAAAACTAATTCTTTAAATAAAAAAAAAAAAATTCAGCGATATATATCGTAAGCAAAATAAAACTGATTAATTCAATTTCTCCATATTAATTTGCATATCGGTGTCAATTTTCATTCTCACAAGTTCTCACATTTAAAATTCAATTACATTCGAGTTTTCATATTCAAAATGAAAGAAACTTTACAAACAATGTTAACAAAAAAATAAAAACGAATCGGGAATCGCGAATAAATATTTCTAAAAAAAAAAAAAAAAAAAAACGAAAGGGGAATCCCGAAAAAAAATTTTTAAAAAAAAAAAAAAAAAAACGAAAGGGGAATCCCGAAAAAAAATTTTTAAAAAAAAAAAAAAAAAAACGAAAGGGGAATCCCGAAAAAAAATTTTTAAAAAAAAAAAAAAAAAAACGAAAGGGGAATCCCGAAAAAAAATTTTTAAAAAAAAAAAAAAAAAAACGAAAGGGGAATCCCGAAAAAAAATTTTTAAAAAAAAAAAAAAAAAAACGAAAGGGGAATCCCGAAAAAAAATTTTTAAAAAAAAAAAAAAAAAAAAACGCATAAAGAAGCATAATTATCATAAAATTATCAAGAATAATAGATATCTTCGTAATTACCATTTAACCCGCATAATTAAAGCGAAATTCATCGTAGAGGGACGAAACTTGCTTTCACATCGGCTTATTATATACATGGTTAAATATCATTCGTGAAAAGTTCTCGAAAACTTTCTGCGAAAATATTTTTACCGAGGATTATTAATCGCAATGTGACGGTCTCGTAAGCAGCCCCCAAGCCCTGATAACGAGTTCTTATTCAGCCATTCAGCGGTCGTTTTAGAGTGACGGTGGTTCTATTCAACTGGCTTCAACCCCGAGGAAACGGTTAACAGTTGTGCGCAGATATTTTTCGCTTCCCTTCGCTCGGAAAACAAGCGGGTAGACAAGTTTAAAAAATTTACAGAGCGGTGTCTCTGCGGGGAACGACGTCTCGTTACGCCCTTAAGACCTGACCTTTTCACTACGTGCATCTTTTTATCTCATTTTTTCCTCTTGTTTTTCTCTCTCTCTCTCTCTCTCTCTCTCCTTCCCTTTCTTCTTTCCCTCCTCTCCCCTCTTTCTTCTTCTTATCTTCTTTCTTATTCAACTCGTCTTTTTATTAGAGGATAATAAAATTATTACGAGCAATAAAATTGGAAAGACGAATCCGTCCATGAGGAAATTAAATAATCTGTTAAAAGAAAAATTTTTGTGATTACAAGCAATAGTATTCTCGATCTTTCGTTCATCATGCGTGCAAATCAGAAACAATGTGGCCAGGAATCAAGGACGCGGCATTTGGAAACTGTTCGAAAGTACAGTTCCTACAGAACATATTCCATATGTATAACAGTATGTAGAACAGTTAGTCCGATGGTTATGGTGTTAGTGACCGAACTGGTTGAAAAGCAACACATTCCCGCCACAAGTCCCCTCCATTATGTCAAATAATTTCTCTCGGATCGATTCACGAAAGATTAGGAAACGCTGAAAAGCGATAGAACGAGTCGTGTGATTACGTCATATCTTTTTTTTTTATTACGTCGTATCTTTTTTTCGAATGAACGTTAATGAACGATATTCAACGGAGCGTACTACGGTTTCCTCAAAATATTTAAATTGTTCTAATTTTTACCGTTATAATCCTATGAATATAAAAAGAAAGTTTCCCATGTGTTTATATGAAATTTCGTAATCTATCGTAATTTCGTAATAGATTATAATACGATATTTAATTGGATTATGAAAAGAGAACAATTAAATTTTATTTTGATTAAAGGATTCAATATATTTATGTAAAATTCGATTTTCTTGATGTAATTATATATCATTTATTAAGTTCAATGTATAATTAAGTTTATGATAAATATAATTATAAATATATTAATATTTATTTCTCATTACTGAGATGTATAAAATATACAAAATTCGATGAATATTTGGAATATATTAAAAACTTATGAATATTTATACGAGGTTAAGAAAGTTCAGGGATCGGAATGTTATTTTAGAGAACTGTTCTGACTTGATTTCGGTATTTCCATAATACTCTCTGTTTCCATAATACCTTCCTTCGAGTAATACCTATTAGAATATTACGTTAAAGAACGTCTATAAACTATTATTATAGGAATATTACTGATACCGTGGGAAAGTTAAAAATGATACGAAACGAAAAGATTAACCTATTTCACCTATTAATCAAGAATTTCACTCGTAATTTATATAATAACAAAACCGAAGAAAGATTGTTTATCGTAATTTATCGAAAATAAATCAGACATTATTGAATATTCTGAACGATATATATTATTTGATATATAATCATAAGCTGGAAATCTTCGAAAATATTCAAATTTTCAGGTCACCAAAATTTCCAAGTAGAACTCAATTTAAAATCAATATACCTTAATTTACACTAAATGATGTACACCAATATTACTCATAAGCAGTCAAAGGCAAACGGTATATTAATATATATGATTTATTTTACAAAGTTATTATTTTTTTTTTATTAGAGACGAAGATAGTCAATTCCATATAATCCAACGTAAAATACTTTACTTTTCAATTTTCCTTCAATTTCGGAAAATTTCCTAGGAACACGGCGCTCAGAAATACTTTAATGTATCAACGTACAAAGAATATATGTACAGGATGTGGTGTGAGATATCTAAAGAGTTTTTCGCATCCGACACAGTATCCTCACCGATATACATGATCCCAAGGAGAAAAGTCTACAACGGTTATCAAGTATAACCTAAAAATAAGCACGTACACACAATAAAAGGATGCTTGTTCTACGAATTTGCTCACGTATCATATTTCGTTAGAAACGAGAAACAAAAGAATGCTATACACAATTCGATGAGGAATCATAATCAATCTAAATTTGGTCGAAATGACATCTTTAGAGATATCAAATAACTATAATTTTTTTAAACTAACAAGAAATAATTTATCGTCATTTATCGCGTAGAAAGATATCAAAAATAGAAAAGATTAAAATAGAAAACAATTATTAATTATTATTAACAAGAAAAAGAACAAGAAAAATAAAAAAATATTATCGAATTCCAATGGTCCATGTCTTTTCTAATTTAATAATCACTATTTCGAAAGTATCGATATATAATTTCAATGTATAAAAATCTGATCTTTTTACGAAAGAAGTTAAAACTCGCGAGATCACTTTTCGAGAGAACATTCCTCGAACGTGAATCACTTGTTGATAGCTGGCAATCTCTACGGTAGTAAGAGAAATAAGAGAAAAAAGAGAAAGAAGGCAGGAATGCGATGCTGTTCTCGTAGCAGGATCTTAACGGGCAATCACGGCAGCCTTCAGACGCGATCCCGAAAGAAGAAATTGGCGGAAAGGTCGACGAAACACGGAGATCTGGGACATACGAACGAGACGAGAGCCAATTAAATAACTGTATAACTTGTGCCGTACGTTTTACCCTGGCACGCGAGCTTGTATCGGGTTATTCCTTCTCCTGTTCCTTCTGTTTCTCGCGCTCTTTCTCTTTCTTTCTTTCTCTCTCTCTTCCTCTCTCGCTTTTCGTTTCTTTTTTCTCTCCACAGAGGCGCGCGTGTTCCTCGAGATTCATTCCTTGCGCCTGGCCATCATTGATACCGTTAACTATCAAGTTTAGTAATAAATTTGTTTGCATTCCTTTGAAAGAGTATTAAATATATTATTATGCATGATTTATAATTTTCTTATCATTTTCAATTTGTTATATATTTACTCAGAGATCTCGTATCTTATCGATCTCCGTCTTGTTTCATTTAACGCAAATTTAAATTATTTATAACTTAATAAATAAGTCTCCAGGATGTTTAATGTTAAGAATATATTGATATTTCGTACATATATGTGTGTTATTTTAATATTCTTTAATACTCTTTAATATCATATAAATAATAATAATTATAATAATGTAAAATTTAATTTTAAACGTATTTTTAACATATCAGTATCGAATACTTTTGCGCATACGTGTACGTGTAAAAAACCCGATTAAACTGAAGAATAGCACGTTTCAAGAGGCCATTTGTACCCTTCGAACGAGGGAATCTAGGGATCACTGACGGCAAATCTGTTGACGCCAGTGTAATTAATTGGATCCAAAGTCGCGTTAATCGTGTAATTTGTAATGGACGAGGGGAGGATATTTAATCCTCCTCGTTATGACGTGTGATTTAAGAGTTACACTACCGATCAAAAGTTTAGGATCGCCTATTTGACAAAATGGGAAGTTGAATTTTTTAATGGAAAAAGTATGATTGGATATTTTGAAAGTTTCATATGAAACTCGGAGGGAAAATGATAAAAATCTACAAATTTCATAAAATTACAAGAAAGATTCAACTTTAATCTTTTTCGAAGAAAAAATTCGAATATTAAAACACAATAATCTGAAAGAGAATTGCGAATTTTGGATAAAATAAGTTATTGATTTTAGAAATGATTTATTCCTTTAAAAATACAATATTTGTTTCTTAATTTAATAACAGTATTACATTAATAACAGGTAAGAATTTGTTTTTGAGAATAATAGAATGAAAAAATTAAATTGAAATTCAAAAGAATGTTCGATAACAAGCAATAAAAGTCAATTTTTATTCCAAACGAAGAATAAAACGTTGCTTTCAATTTTTCATTTTTCATTTTTCTCGAGAAACTATCTTCAATCATCTTTTTATCAACAAATTACGGTACATTTCGTGTTTATATTATCGTGAAGAAAGTTTCAAACCAGAAAGTGGTAAAATCTTTGCGCAAGTTCAATCTACCAATATTAATAGTACTGTGCATCGCGTGGTAAAGTTTCAGACACGATATCCGTGAAATGTTCACGTGAAATGAGTGTGGTACGTGTAAGTGCTTTCATAGACTGAACAATTTACGATTGACAGAACACGATGTGGGTGGAAACAACCAAAGCAGATAAGTAGAATTTTTATTTAATTTTTGCATAAAAATAAGTTCTGTGATTGTGTTACGTTTATATAGAAATATGATGTAGAACTTATTTGAAAACAAAATGTTTCTATGATATAAAATTCCACAAATTGATAGCATTCATGGTTAAATGAATTTTCACAAATAAACACGCCGCAAATATGTTCAATTAATATAATAACAATTACCCAAATGTGGTGTAAAAAACAATCTCATTGTCATTATTATTATACTGCATGAATAATATTGCAACCATTGATCGGTAATTGCTAATGAAGATTTTCAATTTTTCTTCAAAATTATAAGATTTTGAGAAAAGAATTATAATTAATACATATAATGTATTGGATTTATTTAAACAAGAAAAATCTTGTCATAAAAAAAATATGATTCCTTTTCGAAAAATTAATATCTTTGACATCATGTTTCAAAAAAAAATCGAAACTCAAGAATTCTTAAGAATTCAAAATTTTAATCTTCAATCTTTCCCGATTATAAATACTTTCGATACTCGTTTTCTAATTCTCACAAAAATAAATTCCTTTTAAAAAAATCTACGATATACGATATGCTAGGACCACGTACTAACGCGTGCCGTAAAAGTCGTGTTGTTTATAAAAATAAAAAAAAGAAAAGAAAAGAAAAGGAAGAAAGAAGAATATAAAGTAGCAAGCACGAAAAACGAAAAGAATAAGAAATTAATTGCACAGAGCAACGCGGCAGTATAAACAAATTAGCAGTGGCGAGGAGTGAGTGCAAATCTTCGTAAATTTAAACCCGTTTATGCACCGATCCTTTATTTCCCAGCTGCGAAATTTCCACCGCAGGATATAATATGCGTTCATACACCGAATGAATCGACGGTGGATAAAACAGGATATACGGACTGTGGTACGGTTACTTACATATGCAGCACACGCCGAAACCAAGTGCACATCGTCCAAGGGACTTCCCCCGTTGAATGCGACACTCATACGTGTTCATGCATACGCCCTGCCGCCGTTTGTCTTGTGATAGGCATTCCTCTTGCACCGGGGTGGGGAAGAAGTCGAGAACTACATACATATAAGGGGTTGAAAAACGAGAAATCGAATAAAATAACGAAAACAAGATGGTATGTACAGTGATTTACGAAGGTTACGTACTTTTACTTATCTTAAAAAGAAATTTTACTTATCTTAAAAGGAATTTTAATCCGAAGTAATTTTAATCTTTGCTTTTAATTCACTTTCTAAATTCTTATCTCAAATTTAATCTAATAATTTTATTTTATTATTATCATGTAAATTCAATTTCAGATATTACGTACGGCGAAAATTTAAAATAGGACGAGAAATATTTTCTCCGTCGTGAATTTATAAATTCATGAATATCGTAATTAAAATTACACGAATATCGCGTTAAACATATCGCTCGATATTCGACTAGAATTCTATTTTGTTTGGTGCAATAGACACGCGATAATGAACACGCAATTACCGAGGTAATCAATTCGTCGGTTTCTGATCTCTCCTCGATGGAAGATGATTGAATTATTCTTACTTAGTGATTGGCAATTAACACTTTGCGGCTTGTGTTCGGCTACGAGTTTGGGTAAGTGTTTTATGCATTTGAAATTTGACGAAATATGGAGATATTTCATGTTCTAATATAATACTATTTATTCATTAATGATAATTCATCGAAACGATATCGTTCAACTTTTAATGCTTCGAAATTAACCGATTCAAATCTAAACACTGTTCCGATCCGTTAACCAGATTTAAAGGAAGAATGAAATTCATCGTTTTCGAAAAAACGAAGCGTAACATTTCAACGGGAACGTCATCCCATTCGAGGCCAAACACTTGCGTGAATCCTACACAAGATTCGAAAAGGAATGAAAACCCTGGGGCAAACACACGATGTTAGAACGTTCCTGGAACGTTCTCGGGGAAACGGTGGACACAAAAGAAACACGAAACGGCACTCCACGAGAACTTACCCTTCGAGATTGGATTTCCGATCAAATTGAATTCGTTCGAAGGTTTCTCCACGGTCTGATTCTGCCAAAAGTTCAAGCCCAGAAACGACCATTGGTGCGTGCTCCGTGGAAACGCGATCAAAGTATAAATACCGAAAGACAACCACGACGAAACGCTCCACTGTGCGTCCATGGTCGGTACAACACTCGCGAGTAAGAGCATTAGCGTGGAATAAACGGTGAAACATCCGAAAATCGTGTTGAACATTGGGAATCATTCGCGCGCGGCACTCACTCGGAGAATATTTCAAAAGTGAACACCAATGGAAGACGATGACCGACTGACTGGCCGTGTAACAGCATCTCGGGACAACACGTGTTAAGCCCCTTCTGCTACGGTTACCTGATTACGGTTACCACGTTACCGCTACCGATCGCTTTGATCGCGAACATCCTCTTACTCGCAGACCGAGATCTCTCATCACCTTTAGTAACCGTGATCTTGCATTAACAAGCTTGGAAGCGATATGATTTTGATAGAATAGGCTGGGATAAAAATAAGTCGTTTGATGCTCGTGAAAGCATCATTTTTACAGATTTTTCAATGTTTTTAATCAAAAATTAATCTCAAATAGCTCAAATTGATTCTTCCAGTTCTTCCAATCTTCAATTGAGACTTATTGTCAATATATTTCTACGTAATTAGAAATTCTTTCTTTAATTTAATTTTATATGTAATTATTTTTTTACTTACAAAAATTATTTCTTGTTAAGAATTAGATGTGTAAAAAAATATTATATATATATATATATAATATTTCATAGTTAGAAATATCATTTTTTTTAAAACAGGTACAGTAAATGTAATATTGGAAAATCTATATTTATTTTAAAATCATGGAAAATAAATAAAGAAAATTTGTATTTTAGAAGATTAAGAACAACTTCAGCTTTGAAATTGAATTCTAAAAGAATATAAAAGATTCAAATTTCACAAAGTTGTGACATAGTTTCTCAACATTCGTTTACAAAGGCAAACATTTCAAATAACTTTCCGATATTTTTGATCCACCGATATATCTCGGTTAAAATATTGGAAAACTTTATCATGGATATCGTAGTTGGGTAAATAATAGAGTTTTAGAATACGATTTTCGCATCTCTGCTAGAATTTTTATAAAAAATTGAATTACGAATATAAAGTACATGCAACAATGCAACATTTTTATAATATATTATATTATTACTATAATTTAACTTTAGTAAAAATTCTTTAAGTAAAATTAAGTAAATCTTTAAGTAAAATTCATATTATACTTTTTATAATAATCGTATCTTTTAATTTGAATCGTTTTATTAATTATATTATTCGTATTACCTATTATACAATAATACAAAATATTTTATAATACGAAGCAAACAATTAATTAAAATATTAAAAATAAAATTATAATTAAAATGAATAATTAATTTTTTTAATTTTTATAATTAAGTAATGATGAATTAAATAAATTTTTTTACCTTTAAGGTTGTTTCATTGAGAATTTCAGTAGGATTTTTTGTAAATATTTTATTGTAATTAATATATAATAAGAAAATAAGATAAAATAAACAATAAAAAGAATAAAAAAAGAAAAAAATAAATTTTGTATTTTTTTTTTTTCATCATTTATTTAAAATATATCTACATTCAACATCTATAAGATAACTTGATAATGGTTTTTTCATTCAAATGATGAAATTTAAAAATAATAAATTTTAAAAAAAGATGGTAAATCTCTAATGATGAATATGAATAAATTAATTCATATTTATCGAGCGTTGTAAAAACAGGAAAAATGTTTCGTTGATAATAATGTTTTCTACTAATACGACCTAAATACAATTAAACACGACTGGATACGGGCCAGTCATGCGCAAATCTGTTCTTGTTGAATATTTCTTTTTCGATATGGCCTCCAAAAGGTTTTATCGAAAACAAAATTAGAGAACCAAAAATCTACAAGAACAGAATTACTGAATGATCGTCGTTCATTGGTAATTTGGTAAGTCGAGCTTTCTTTTTATTTCTTTATTATAAGAGATTACGATTTAAGCGTAAAGTTGCCAAAAAAAATAAAATTATATCGGTATAAAAGGAAGAAATTAATTAAAAATCAAGAGATCGCCATTTGACTATGATCGTTTAGTTGATAAAAATTATCATGCTAGTATAATCAATGTACTGCATTTTTATGCATAATGAGTAGAATAACCTTTTGGTTACGCGTATTACAGGTTGCTCCGAAATTTTCATCATGATTTCGTTACTCTTATTATGTTATTAGCTGAATATATAATTTATTTAAGCACCGCTTAATAAAAAGACACATTATTTATATAAATCCTATTTATTCTCCTATTACAATGAAACTCACAGCATTATTCGTATTAGCTGTGTTGATTCTATACATAACATGATTTTATTTTAACCTGAATGGTTATGTTTTTCTCTTTTATTATTATTCGCAAAGTTATTTTAAGTCTTAACTTTGCGTAATATTAGTGTCTTTATATGGTGCATTTTGTTTAATGTTTTGTGGTATTTGTGCATTTTGGAAATATTATTGGAAATATGAAATTTCCTTTTATCGGTAAGTAGCTGGGGATTGATTCTTATACTCCAGCAAAATTATAGATAGTAATACTAGTGATAACAATAAAAATAATACTAATGATGATAATAATGATATAAATTACTTCTTACATAAAAGAACAAATCTCTTTTAATAAAATCAATTCCTTTAGGAGCCCAATTACTCTTTAGAGTTATTAGCCTAAGATGTAAGTACATATATCAAATTTGATTTATTTTATAAAGTGTGTTATAAAAATTTACATATAAAATATATTTAAGAACTTGTGTTGGATTTTGTGTGTTGAAACACTCAATTCAGTGTTTTGCTATATATAATATAAATATTAAATATTAAGCTATTTGCTTTCAAATGCAAAGTTATGCTTAGTTTTTAATTTAAAATAAAATAAAACTATATTAATGGAAACTTTACATTTAAATAATGTTATATGTGTATATAAATTGTTTAAATACAATAGTATGTACAACATTAAATGGGTAAGTATAGTTCTTTAAAATTTGTAGCTTTATTATAATAAACATTAAAAAAAATATAAATAATAAATAGTTATAAATTAAATTGCTGCTGCAGGGTTGGCGTATAAAATAACATTATTATTCTATATAATTTCTGTAATAAATAATTAGTAAATATTAGCTATAATAGTAATATTACTTCTATAACATTAATTCTTATATACTTTTTAGATCAATTATAGATTTATTATTTATAATTAGTTAAAAATTTATTTTTCCATATTATCAATGTTATATACCATACAATTATTTATATATATTGTAACACTTTTTATTAAATTTTATAATTTTTGCCGGCCCTAATGTTGCATTTTTATCATTCTTAAACATCATTAGCACTTTTATATTTTCAGAAAGTACCGTGAGAATTTTTCATAGACTTGGGTCAACCATGCAAAACTTTGATGATCTAGACATAGAGGGACGCAATCCCTCGCATTTATCAGAAGCAGATAAAGAAAAGGTAATATTAGAAAAATGTTTTGTAAAAATATTGTTATTTATAATGCTTAAAAACTTGTTAATGCTTAAAAAATTTTCTAACAAATTTACAAAATTAAAATTCTATTCTAAATATATTGTAATACACATTTGTCAAAGTTAAATGTAAATATATGTATTTTATTTTTAAATTATTATATTAATTTTATTATAATAATACTTAAACTTTGCAATGAAAATTCATGTTTTTCTATTAAAATAATTTTTATTAATTTTATCAAATTATATTTTTATATTCTGTGATATACTCTTGAAATGACAGTTATCTGTTCATTTTATGAGATATTTATATTTCACAGGAAGAATATGATCGAAAACGTTTAATGAGAAGTAGTGTCACTGCTGAAGATGGCACACTTAGACCTGTGTATTCTGAAACAGAAGATGGTGATATATGGTGTCATATATGTAATATTGCTTTATTTGGAGCTCATAAATTACTAAATCATAATACATGTAATCGTCACAAAATGAAATTAAATGAATGGCCATATCCAGTTTTATTATGGTCCAAACGATCAGACATTGTGAAAACAGCTCCACCTGTACAATCAACTGCCATTGGTGATGGTTTGGCACCTGGAGAACCAGTACCACCTGGTATGGAAGATCAAATAACTAGAACAACTACGATTCAGATGAGTCTGGATCGACATAGAAGTTCTCCACTTGTTGGTCTAGAATATTTACTTGAACTGGTTGATAATGATTCTTGTGAACCAAGTTATACATGTGTTTTGTGTGATAAACGAGGTGATCCTCGCACTGTTATGGCTCATATTGCCAGTTATAATCACAGAATAACTTATCTAAATAGACATTTTCCAACAATATCGCGAGCAATTACGGAATTACCGCGTACACCTAATTATAAACGTGGAGCTAATGAAATATCTGTGTTAGTGGCTAAGAAGATTGAAGAACGATTTGGAAGATTACAACCTCAATTAGTAGACAAGAATCAATTTGAAAAGAATAAAATGCAGTATATCAAGAGGGTCTATCAGGATTATCATTTTAGGTAAGTCATGATTTTTTTTTTTTTTTTTTTTCCCTCACATTTTTCGCTTAACACAGTTGAGCGATATATGATGTGAGCACTTCAGTTCGCGATTTTACGAAAGTTTGTGAACGTGATTCAACAAAGTGCGCGCTAATGATCTTCATAATTTAATTTACTTTTCCTTAAAATCAATGGCTGTTTCCTACGTGCAGGGAAACGCCAGAGTTAACATTTATGGATGTTTACGATGTGCGATGGGTAACAAACTTTGAAGAGAAGATGGCAGAAATGACTGGTAATAGTAATTCAAAGAAAGGTGAGTATACGATAATTTATATTTCTAATATATAGTATTTGTGTTTCTGTAAGTATTCAATTATTGAATAATCTTGTATCAAGATTCTCAACCTACCGATGAGAAGCAAGACGATAAACATAAAAGTGAAGATAAGAAAATTGAAAAATCATCTCCGAAGAAAACAGATTCAAAATCAGATACTACTAAATCGTAAGTGAATAATTTATCTTCGAACGTTAATTTCGCATATATAAGAATTTGATTTAGCAAAATTTAATATTTTTACTATTATCTAATTTTGTTCATTTAAATATATTTGATAAATAATATATGTATGGAAAAATATATGAATATAATCTTATTCCTCCCTCCATTAATTGTTCATTCAAAATTAAATGTTGAATCGATTTTTTATCCTTTTTTTTCTAGGGGTTTCAAGATCCGTATTCTCACGAGGGATAAATTAAATATCCGCAAACCTTTAGATAAAGATGAAGAAAACATGA